TACTTGTTTATATAAATTTCTGCCGTATTAGTTGTTATTTTATTTACAAGCTTTCGTCTGTTCCACAGACATCTTCAGGTATAGAATAGATGTTGTTTTTTTGTTTTTTTCTCTTAGTAATAAGAGGACAACGAAAATATATGTGTTGTTGTATCTGAAAATGCTATTGAAAAAGAGTTATTGGTTTTGGAACGCGCCAAAGCAACGCTGAGTTTGATTTTAAATTTTTAAAGTGTTTGCGTTTATACCAAATATGGTGATGAACAAATTTTTTTACTGGTAAATTTTTCTGTCAAAGTGGCATGAACTATATTGTTCAATAATTACAGTAATGTCGCACTTATCTAAAAGTCGCACTTGGATCAGTTATTTAAATTACAATAAACGTGCAATCAATTTACAAATACATGAATTATTCACACAAAACTAATGCAAAGGTTAATGATTTAAATGGCGAGACATCCATCATCGCAAACAATTCAAATAGTATACAAAAACCTCCAGATCCGTCATGAATGAATTGATACTTGTTTATATAAATTTCTGCCGTATTAGTTGTTATTTTTACTACAAGCTTTCGTCTGTTCCTACAGACATCTTCAGGTATAGAATAGATGTTGTTTTTTTTGTTTTTTTTCTCTTAGTAATATATATATATACTGTCAATATATATATTATAATTAAGTAATTCGTCGAGTCTAGAAGAAACATCTGCAGAAAGCATTGGATGGCCGTTTCGTCCTATATTTGGTACTCATCAGCAATGCGCATCCACTACCGAGAATTGAAACCCGGACAGTTATGTTATCAGGCAAACGTCATACTAACTGTTCCAATGGGCCTCGGTGAAGAAAATGTAGCGAACCATATATTCCGTGGTGGAACTCATCTGAGTTTCTCTTTACCCACTGGACTGTGCCCCCACGAGCAACGACTACTATCGCCAAGCCGCCTGATTCGCTATTTCTTCGTCACCGAGGCCCGTTGGAACGGTTGGTATGACGTTTACCTGATAATGTAACTGTCCGGGTTTCAATTCTCGGTAGTGGATGCGCACTGCTGATGAGTCCCAAATATAGAACGAAACGGCCGTCCAGTGCATTCTGTTGAGATTTCTTCTAGACTCGATGAATTACTATTATTATAATTATCCTCTAATTTCTATCAATTAATTATATATCAATATATATATATATATATATATATATATATATATATATATATACACGCACAGAGGTTGTGTCCACCACCAAAAATTGACATAATTCAAGATTTGAATACCTGAGCATTTACATGTCCCAGGCAAACAAAATTAAAATAGGCTTCGTGTTGAACGATAAAAGATTTATTTATCAAATTCGAACAAGATATTCAAATGGATGTGAATTTTATAACCGATTTCGGAAAGCTTCACAAATATTCAATATGAGCACAACCTGTGACACGACACAGGTCAATTCAGTTGTTCACCAAACACGCTGTAGCATGTCTTACGGAACATTCTCCAGCGCCCCAGTGATTCTTTGCTTATGTTCCTCTTGGCTTGTAGGAAGAGGAGGGATATAGACCTGTTTTTTTCACGTAGAAAAATCGCAAGGTGTCAAGACAGGTGAACGTTGTGGCCTGATCCATCTTCCTGGTAGATTCTCACTGAGATAAGTCCGAACAGATGCGCTGGAACATGTTACGCAAGACATGCTACAGCGTGTTTGGCAGGAGCTGGACTACTGACTTGATGCGTATCCTGTCACAGGTAGTGCACATATTAAATATTTGTGAAGCTTTGTGAAATCGGTTATAAAATATACATCCCTTTGAATATTTTGTTTGAATTTTAATAAATAAATCTTTTATTGTTCAACATGAAGCTTATATAATTTCGTTTGTATAGGACATGTAGATACCGAGATATTCACATTTTAAATTATGTAAATGTTTGGGGGACACCCTGTACATATATTTCTAAAGAAGTAATGAATTTTTTATTTATTAATCCGACAGATTTTATCATTTTAAACATCGTTTTAGTCAATACTCATATCTGAGTAGGTTGTCGTGGAGTTATTATTATGTTAGTGTGATACAATAGACACCCACGTACAAAGGGAGTGGTGGTTTTATTTCGATCTCAAGTGTTTTGAACTTAATTCCTCTAAGCAGCATTCACTTTGTCAGAAGGGGTTAGAGGAGTGGATGGGGTTTACTTTGGCGATCAAGTGGCAAAAAAATGGAAATAGAGTATATCCGGGTGCTTGTCTATATTAACAGTCCGGCAAAAGATCGGGGAGAATTTTGATCCGCTCTTGGTTGGAGACGCACTTGTCCGTCACGTGATTTCTGAGTCGTATATTCGTATTGCCAACCACCATGTCAGGATGAGTAGATGGGTGAGGAGTTGTTAGCGGGTAGGAGCTGAGAAGTTAGACGAACATAACAGAATTTATCCCAAGTATCACCAAGCAACCGACGCAGACGAGCAGGCGAAACTCTAAAATATTTATATATAAGGTAAAAATTAAAGAAAAATGTACCCTCCGGTAGGATTCGAACCTACTACGCTCCTCTTTGCAGGAGAAACCACCGTTTCATCCAACGTGCTTTGATCACTCGGCTACGAGGAGTAAAAATAGTAATAATATATATAAATATATATGAAGAAAATATCTGGAAAAACAAAACAAAATAAAAAAAGTCCGATCAAAAACAGATGTTGTTTTATATGAATGAAATGTCGACGTCTGACGTTTCGGTTTAATAACCTTCTTCAATGAATATTCATGAAAATACAATTAACATAATCGGAAACGAAAACGATGGACATAAAAACAAGTCATATTAAACAACATACTCGCATTTTAAGGATTTTTGTTTTGTTTTTCCAGATTTTTTCTTCATTCTGTCGGATTTATATCCATTTATATTTGCTTATCATAAATATATATATATATATGTAAAAAATTTTGATATAAATAAAGGATAAAAGTCCAACCAGAGGACGAAACGCGTCGGTAAAGTAAATTTTCTTTTTGTCTTTATTCATATATATATATATATATATATATATATATATATGATGATTGAAAAGTAACTCCTTATGTATGAGTGGCTAGCCAGGTGTCCTGACTTAACACCCTGAAACTTTTTCTTTGGGGTTGGTTCAAGGAGCAAGTCTACTAAACCAAGACTTTGGAAGAACTTCAAGGGCAAATACAAGAAGTTATATCTCCCATACCACAAGAGTTCCTGGCGACGTGGGTGGGGTGTCTCGAGAAGATTGTAGCAAAATATGGTGCCCATATTGAATTTTAAATAAAATCTCATTTCTAAACGCTTTCCTCTCATATCAATTTCTTGTAAAAATTATAGTTAAGCATTATGGAATGGGGAGATACTTTTCAATCACCCTATATATATATATATATATATAAGGAAACTTTGGGTGTGGGTTGCTCAAACCAAAACAAGGACAAAAGTCCATATCAACATATGTCCGCAAATCCTTCGTTTTTGAATCATTAAATTGAAAGTTTACGGTAGACGCTGTTAAATGTACAATCCAAGATACAATCCAAGATACAATGCAAAAATACTTTTACGAATTTTGGGACGGATTCCTGACACAAAAAGAAGGTATCATGTCCATATAAACATATATGCAGAAGGTAGTCGTTGTACATCAATATAGCAACTCATAACAAATGTTCAAAATGTCCTCCGCTTGCTTCTATACACGCATAGACCCGTCGGATCATTGACTGGCGGACCCTTTCAAATACTCTCACACCGTGTCGAATGGTTTCACAGACCCCTATGATATACTAATGAAGCGTCTCTTCATTATTAATGTCTTAACTATTAATGTCAATTGTTTTAGGTGACCCCACAGATAAAAATCCAAAGGATTGAGGTCGGTGGAACGTGTAGGCTATGGAGCCGGTCCCTCTACCTTTCCATCTTTCATGGTAGATGTCAGCCAGTGTAGCAAAGGTTGGATGACTCGGCGGCCTTCGGTCTAGGAACACAATCTGATATAGCCGTGCAACCTCGCGTCCATTACTATTTGCGCGGCCGTATGTAAAAATCATATATGCCTGCTCACGATATGATTATCCCGCCATTGTTAAACGGAACACTTCTCAGTTAACTCACTACTACACACGTTAAACGTTGAAGACAGACTAGCTACAAATGTACATGAATGACAAATGTAACCTAGTCTACATGGCAACACAGTGCCATCTACCGTAAACTTTCTTTAAATAAGAATTTAATAACTCAAAAACTAAAGGTTTGCGAAAATATATTTATATGGACATTTGTCCTTGTCTTGGTGTGAGGAACACCCAAAGTTTGTAAAAGTATTTTTGATACACCCTATATACAGAGTTGAACCTCGGGTCACGAACGCCTCTCATTACGAATAAATAGTTTGACGGACAAATTTTACGAACAAAATACTTGATGAATGGTTTCTCGAGGAACAAACCCCCAAGCCGTCGACAACATGGGGTGACAAGAGTGGAGTATTATAGGAATTAAATCCTATATATATATTTTCAACCTATAAAATCCAGTCAGAAGGTTTGTTTAATAAACAATAATTACTCTGGTAAATGCCGTCAAAACACGTACGTAATTGTAGAATTACCACGTGTTATTTTTGGACCATTTAGAAAATGACAATAATAAATCCTTTAACCTTTTCAGCAAATACGAGAAAAAGATTTTCGCGAGCCAGTGTGAAATTATTTTCTAACCAATAAAAACCCTGTAAAAGTTAACACCTTTGATTTGAATACGGATATAAATATAGAAGAATACTACTTTTCCCGGCTCAGACCAATTTGATTGGCCAAGTTGATCTACACGTACGTACACACACACGCACCCACACACAAGCACACAATAGAAGAGAGATAGCCAGCAGCTGCCGACTGTAGCAATATATTTGTTACATTTGAACTATTAAAATACAGTAAAAGGTTTTAAATTAAACTTACCCTCAATGTCTCGGATTTTTGATCGAATACACCTCGGTGGATGAAAAGGTAAGATTTGATAGAGGCAAATCCAGTCGAAACCGATTTCATTTGCCACCAAGTTTAAAGCATCGTCTAAGACATCTGTGGATTACAAAAGAAATTAATCGGGGAAAATACGGAACAAATTATACGTTATATGCAAGGGAGATAACTGATCAGAAAGAATTTAAACGCTAGTATCAATTAATATTTATTATTTTATTACACTAGATTCTGGTTAATTGAGATACAATAATAGAGTAATTTGACCTAAATAAGCGGCTTCCCCTTCATGCAAATCAATATATCATCTATTTAAATCCGGATCTTTCTAGTTTATTATTATTTATTTAAAAGTCGTCATCAACTTAATTTTTTGCTAATAAATCAATGACTATGATAAACTTGTGGAATCTTCCACGTCAGCCAGTCACCCCTGCTAGGAAATGCACTATTCCTGTGTGACTTTCACCACCACAATCTTACAAAATATATAATAAGCATTCATTGGTTAATCATCTTCAATCTAGCCTGCTGATTGGTTACTTCCGACCAATCAAACCACCTGCATGCGACAAATCTGTTTTCCCGCGTTTTCCATCTGAGCCTGTCACGTGGTACAACAAAGTTATAAAAACAAAACACGTGTAAACTCTCTCTCTCTCTCTCTCGCGTCTCATTCCTTGCTGCCAAGATATAATCTTCAAGAACTCCCGTCTTAACCTTAATGTTTTTGAATAATTATTCTATGTCTTGTATTAATTGTTGTGGATGGAAGATTATTGAACACATACAATTTTAAGCCTTCTGATAATTCAAACCTTCTATTCCTCTCCAACACACATCACACATCCTCAACAAACTACTCTATAAGCAGCAACTAATATGCTTGGAGTTAATTCCTTGGGAAATCGAATCATTATTTTCATCTCTATTATTATTAGACTGCAAATTGAACGTGAAATTGCTTTATTCTCCTACTGAGAATATTTTAATAGTATTGCGCTAACAAAAATATTGCAACGATGTACTATTTTTCTGTGTTATAATAAGTCACCAAGATGCAGAAATTGCAACATTCTCGGATGAAGAGAAGGCTAAAGAGTAGAATCTGCAAAAATCTCGAGTCCCTAAGGTGATTGAATAGCGTACAGGATCAGCGTCTAGCAACCCCACCAAACTGTATTAGTTTATCTTGTATTGTAATAGTAACGCTAGGAGGTGAATATTAACATATGGACAGCTCAGGAACCCTATGGCCTATACCCAGGTTTGTAGAGCTCTGTGCTACATCACTGTCTCCTGATACAGTTGGATGTTGACTCAAGTATAGTTTATAATGAAAAAATCGAAAATTACCGTTTTCAGTGTTTTCAAAATCAACTACATGTGGTTTCTCGAATAAAGTTTGAATAGTCAGAGTCTGAATCTTCAAATCCTTTATTATATGAAGCGCCGCCATCTTATCCTGTATATCTCTCAACGTATTTTTCAATACCGTCAATGTTTTTAATTCCTTCTGTAAAATATTGTCTTGTTCCTGTTGCAATTGTCGGCTGCTTTCGTATTTGCTGTTGGCCACACACAGTTTGATATCGCACGCAACCTTGGCTTTCAAGATGCGGCTCAGTTCGATGCTACCTTGATTCCGGCTGAGGTTGAGTTTTTGTATGTCCAACTTCCGGTTCTCTATCAGTCCGACGAGAATATCGTAAAGTGTCGACGAGTTAGAAGCCCTGTTCATGAACCTAGTCTCAGCTTCCGCTAGCTCGACTTTCTTCCTCTGTTGCTCATAGTCGATTACTTGTTGTGAGTTCTTCAGTTGGCTCTGCTGGTCTCGAAGTGTATTTAATTCGTCCAACAAATCCTTAACATCCCGCCACAGTATCTGTGTAGTGAACGCTTTTCGCTGGAAATTATTTCGGGCTTCTGTTACACGAAACTGCTGACATCGGATAGACTCATTTATATGGGCCTTGCTTTTTGTTAGGTCGTAGAGTTCATTCTGCAATTTTCTAGTGTAACAATCATCCTCAAGCAACCATCGGGACATCGGGTGTAGAAGGTGCGGGAAATGATCTAGGACGTTCAGCATAAGGCTGGTTACCTGGTGGTAATTGTTAACATATTCGAAAAAAGGCTTCTCTAACGTTTTCAACTGATATAATTTTGCGGTGATATTTCGGTGACCTCTCAGGATTTCCTCCTTCCAAATTTGAATGTTTCGTTCGTAGTTGTGTGGAACCTTTAAGGTTGAATCTTTCACTTTATTGATAAAGCTTTGGCAGTATTTGCTTATGTGTTCCTCATAGGCATTCTTCAGTTGTCTAAGAGACTGCGATACAAACTTTTCGAAAGAACTTGCTCGTATGGTAATCTATGAACAAAAAAGTAAAAAAAAAGAAAGAGTTTTATTATATAAAATCAAACGTCATTGTTCGGACTGTAGTCGTCACCTTCATATTCTCAACGTTTCGACCGTTGTACGCCCCGGTCTTCTTCAGGTGATATAGGTCGGAATTTCCAACCGAACCCTTTGTTCTAGTTCCACGTGCTATGCTTCTTCCTGATATTTCAGTTTCAGTTATTTCCCTTTAGTAACACAACTCTCCAAGTTTTGCTTACCCCTGCTGTGAACCCACAACTCTTTGGGTCAAGTCACTGGATTATTTCAATGCTTTTATTCACTGGGACATGTGTCCTTGGAGACATCAGTGTATGTATTTTTGTGACTTATAAACCTAATATCTCAGTTATCATTTTTTTTACCAGAGCTCATATTACAATTTGTTGTTATTGTTGTTTTTCTCTAGCATTCTGTATTAGTAGTTCTCATTTGGTATTCATGTCTATGCTTGGCTGGATTAGAAGATGTTGGTGGCTTAGCATATGTGCTGATTCCTTAAGTTTTCGTATTTTCCAGTGGTATTCCAACGTATATCACCTGAAGAAGGGAAGAGCGTACAATGGTCGAAACATCTTGAATATAACAAAAAAGATGAGGAAAATAGTCTGAACACTGTAAATAGTTACAATACATCATCTCAGAAATACAGACAGATATTCAATGTGAATGTTTGCTTTATTTATTTATTTATTTTTTGCTGGTTTTGTCACTTTAAAGCAAATATGTAAAATTTAAGTGATTTGAAACTGACCTGAAACAGGAAAATTTCAATAGGAACATAGAAAAGAGAACTGGACTGTTACATAAAGTCAGTCTTGCTATATGACAGTGAATGCTGGACAATCTGATCATAGGTGAAGAAGAGACTCGAAGCAAGAGAAATGTGGTTCTACAGAAAGATTCTGAGAATACCATGGACCGAATATGTGAGCAACGACAAAGTTTTAGAGAAAATAGAAACAAAAATGAAACTTATACTTAACATCAGTAAGAGACAGTTGGGATTTCTTGGGTACAAAAAAAGGCTTAGAAAATCTGATCCTCACAAGGCAGAAACAGGAAACGTCAATGGTAATTATTTTTCTTTTACAAATATTTTTGTCTATTCATATGAATAAATTAGAAACAAATCACATGCACCAATATGTGTTAATCATTCTGTCATCAGTGAAAATATTATAACAAGACTTCATTTTTTTCATTGTACAAGAAAAATTTTCTCAAAAAAAAAAAAAAAATCAACTTTTCTCCATTTCTACGGCAGATGCTTTTGTTAGGGAAACAGCTTCGGCATCTTTAATAAAAAAAACTTAATTCTTTTAGAAGTACAGCCCGCTTTATGATGTACTGTATCTCATGCGGCCAACTATTCGAAAATGTTGCCCATGTAATTCCAGAATGATGTCAGAGTTCAATTTGTTATGTGGAATTATCGATAGTTCAATTAATTTAGTCTTTTATTTTATCCACCTTCTTTTATGTTAGGCATGTGGAGTCCATCACAAATAATACATCGTCGGACCTCATCGTTTTTTTAGAATCATATCACTCCATGCAAGGGAGTAAAGCCACTAAGACACATCGGCCCTACGATCTCACTCGATCACGGGACTGATGATGATGGCGGTAATAATGATGTTAACTGATGCAGAATCCATAATTCAGTGATGTGAAACAGAATTAAAAACTCGCTGGCAATCAATAACATGTACTCACCTTTTTCAGTTCATCCAGAATTTGATTTGACCAGTTCAATGTTATCGCCTTTTCATCGATCCACTTTAAGAAATCATTACTCGTCAAAGGCGGCGCCCCGTCGTCAAAAACATTCCGACTTCCCTTTTAAAAAATAAGAACGAAAACAAATTTTAATACAGTGAATAATGGAAGGTGAAAATTATACGCATTGTATATTGTTATGGGAACTTACCCATAATAATAATGGACTATTCCTGACATTATAAATACTGCGCCTCTCAAGAGGTATGATAGGAGATTGTAAGACGGGGAGAGATAATTGAGAGCATATTGTAAGGACATTGGAATAGTGATACTTGTCGAGACAATATAGTTCACTCTAACCGAATCTGATAGTCATTACTAATACTGCTACTTCTTTGTATTATATTTCTGTTGTAATATATCTTTGTATTCCATACCTGTGTTTGTGTTATTCTTTCATTGGTTCTAACCTTGGACCATCACCGTGGTACAAGGAACTTGAACCATAACAAGTGGGGACGAGGAAAAAAAAAACGAACTCTCCACGCGGAGGACATACCTATTTTTGTTATCCGTCGCACATAACAAGTGGCGACGAGGTAACCCAAGAAACCAACTCTCTACGCGGAGGACAAACCTTTTTGCTATCCGTCGCACATAACAGTGTCGACGAGAAAACCGAAGAAACAAGTTCTACGTGGAGATTCTAAAAAACAAATTCTACGCGAACATATATTTAAAAAAAAAAAGAAAAGAAAAGAAAAGAAAAGGAAAATTTTTTTTTTGGACATCAACTTTACTGTGACGCAAGTTCTACACAGGGATAATTTTTTTGAGTACACAGGTTCCAGAATATCAGGCTACACTAAAGGAAAATATTTACACAAAATTACGTTAACATGGAAGAATTTAAATCAACCATTGTGGAACTTATGAAAATCCAATTTGAACAGCAACAGAAAAACAAACAGAAACATCTTGAATTACAAGAATTATTGCTACGTGTAATGTCAAATAAAGGGCAAAATTCCGAAAATGAAACAGTTCTCTCACAAGACGCTATTTGGAGCACTATCGAAGATTTCACGTATACACCCGACGAAGACAAAACCTTTGCAACTTACTTCCGAGGGTACGAAGATCTATATGAATTTGACTGCAGAAATTGGTCAGACGCAAGAAAAGTACGACTACTACTAAGAAATTAGGCACATGCGAATATACCAAATTCGTAGATTATATCCTACCGAGGAAAACAAAAGAGTTAACTTTCAAAGAAGCCATAAAACTGTTAACAGAACTTTTCAGCCCTAATACCTCACTATTCCACAAAAGATGGAAATGTCTGAATCTAACAAAAAAACAGAGCAAAGATTAAATAACTTTCGCTTCTATTATAAACAAATATTGTGATGATTTCAAGTTATCGGAACTCTGCCTGAACAATTTCAAATGTTTAATATCCGTCCAAGGCCTGGTTTCAACCAAAGACACGGAAATTAGACGCAGAATCCTTACAAAATTGGAAAATGAACAAGATTTGACACTTCAAAAACTGTCCGAAGACTGCCAGAGATGCATGTGTAAAGAAAGACTCAAAAGATATAGAAGAAGCTGGCATCGCGCACTTGCGTAAAGTACGAAGACAAACCAACTTTCCCTCCTCACAAACAAACCAAACCAATTTTCCCTCCTCAAAAACAGGTCAAACAAATTTTTCTACTTCAAAAAGTCAATATCATAAAAAACTACCACCCAGTCTATGCTATCGCTGTGGGACTTGGCATTGGTATAAAGACTGTCCATACCGTTTTAAAACATGTCTATCATGCAAAAAACGTAGGACATAAAAGTTCTCATTGTTGGACTAGAAGAGAAAGCAAAAGCAGAATAAGAATCACGAGTATTGGCCAAGCGGATGAGACTAACATAAGAGAAATACGTGCAAGTAGAAATGCAAAACAGAAAAGTCAGACTACAGTTGGATTCCGGGTCGGACTTAACTATTATTAACGTACAAACATGGAGAAAACTGAACAAACCTACCATGTTAAGAACCGATAAAATTGCTAGATCGGTAACTGGGTGAAAAATGAAATTTGAGGGTGAAGTGATTACAAATGTGACATTCAATGGAATGACCAAAAAATTGAAAATGTATGTGCTAAGAAATACAGAAAACTTATTCGGTACGGACTGGATGAAAAAATTCGAACTTTGGGATATTCCAATAAGTATGTACTGCCAAAATGTAAAAAGTTTATCAACCGAGGCAGATAAATTAAAGGAGAAACTAAAAGAGAATTTCCCCGAAGTATTTTCAGCAGGTCTCGGAAGATGTAAGAAAATGGCAGCAAAATATATATATATATATATATATATATATATATATATATATATATATGTGTGTGTGTGTGTGTGTGTGTGTGTGTGTGTGTGTGTACACCTGGTGTAACAGAAAAATTGTCCAAATCGTGTAACAGCAAAATTATCCAATTGTTAGATTAAGCTTTAAACCGTTGTATCTTAGAAATGATTAAAGATATCTTACTGGAAGTCTCCGAGGTCTTTATAATACTACTGGACTCTACTTTCAGCAATAAGAATGTATAATTACTCTCCAAGCTTAATGGAAAAATCGTGATGAAATCGATCTTAAACGAAAATGACATGTTCATCATTAATTAATCATAGCTCATGAAGGATTGAAATAAAGTTCAATATATATATATATATATATATATATATATATATATATATATATATATATATATATATATATAATTCCAGGATCATTTTCCAACTTATTTAAGAAGATCTTCGCTCTCTAACCATCTAACTTTCCGTCCTGGAGTAACAGCTTTCACCTACGATTTCAGAAGTGTTTTATCGTTGCTCTTTGGACTGTCATAGCTGAAACTTCTCTCTCACGTGCCAAACATCTGATGGGTTGAGCTGGATCTTTTCTAATTGATCTCTTTAACTCTAAATTGGAATGTTGATCCCTCTTCCTGTTGTGACCTCCTGATCCAGTTTCCCTCTCTACTGTTCGATCTTTTTAAAAAATGATTCACCGTTCTCTATTTGGTTCTTGGATGGACTTTGAACATGGAAGTCAGAGTATGAACGGTGGTACCATTACTAAAGGCCTGAATGATTTTCTTCTACCGTTGCTCAGTTGAGAAAACAGTGGGGCTGACACAAAACGATTTTTACCTGTTCTCTTTCTAATTAAATAACTCAAAGGGATTTTCAGTGATTCTTTCGACAAATGATGTCAAAATGGCTAACCATATTATCTGAAAACCTGGAGAAAAGAAACTCAGTTTAGTGTTTATTTTTTTTTTTTAGATATTAAACATTTTGTAGGGTAGACAATTATGCTGATACACGATTTGGACAATTTTGCTGTCAGACCCGGTACACACACACACACACATATATATACATACACACACGGCTTGGACAATTTTGGTGTTACACCCAGTACACATACACACACACACACACATATATATATATATGATAAAATGAAGAACACATAGGAAACGTATATCAATCTAACATGTTTCACTTTTATTAAGTTTCCTGTATGTTCTTCATTTTATCATCCTGTCGAGTTCCGTTTTATATTTGATCTGCATTGGATCTTTAACTTATATATATATATATATATATATATATATATATATATATATATATATAGTATGTGTGTGTGTGTGTGTGTGTCTATATATCTGTATATATATATATATATATATATATATGAGTGTGTCTGTGTAAAAATTTCAGATACAGTATATGTGTAAAGGGACAACATGAATAAAGGCAAAAGGAAAAATTATCTTAGCCGACGCGTTTCGTTCTCTGAAGCAAATGTAAGAATTTTCTACTCACTTTTGTCTATTAGACATTGAATTGCATCACCTCACGTTCATAAATTTGCCTCACTTTTCCGCTAACCTGATGAATATTCATGAGCACTCCTATACCAAAAAACCTTGAAAAACCAATAACATTTTTGCTCTTCTATATAAATACCTGTCACAAAATAAAATCCTTACATTTACTTGATAAAGTCCTTCAGAGAAACTCGTCGGCTAAGATAAGTTTGCATTAGAGGGGGATCATAAATTAGTATAGTAAATTTTGTAGTGAAAAACACCTCCATTTGGAAATTCTTGCAAAAATCAAATAATTGTCGGATTTCAATAAAACGTTCAGAATTTATTCACAAGTGAATTAGCTTTTATTAAATGTTAGTTTTTTTTTAAAGAAAATCTTGGTAAAAATATATTTTACATTTATTACTCCCACCACTTTTAATTTATAAAATTTCGAGAAATTCATTTTTGTGTCGCATAATGTCTATATTTGTTCTGATCAGAAATCCTTGGAAAGTTTATATCATCAATTTATTTTTGCAAAAATAAAACCCCCAGTTACCGAACATCTGCTCTGAATCGTAAAACGAAAAATCCTATAAAACTAAGACACTATTTAATTAGAAAAGCTTTAAATTTGTCTATATTTCTGAGATGAGGTATTATGTACACTAATTACATTATTCGGACTATTGTCCTCATCTTTGTCACTATATTTATTACAACGTTTCGGCCCTTCAGTAGCTGTCTATAATTCTGAGATGAAGTATTATGTACACTATTTACATTATTCGGACTATTGTCCTCATCTTTGTCGCCATATTTATTACAATGTTTCGGCCGTTGTACGCTCCGGCCTTCTTCGGGTGGTTGGAATGTCGAACTGAACCCTTTATTTCGCTCACTGGGGTAGACTGTTCTAGTTCTACGTGCCATTTTTAATGGATGTCAGTTATCAGTTATCTCCTGTTAGTTCACCTCTCCAAGTTCTCCACCGCCTTAACCGGGTATTTGACATTCCAACCACCTGAAGAAGGCCGGAGCGTACAAAGGCCGAAACGTTGTAATAAGTATGGTGACAAAGACGAGGACAATAGTCCGAATAATGTAAAAAGCTTTAAATTGTTTTATGAATAAGATATATTAAGGACACTATTGTCTTAAGAAAAAAAAAATTTGAGGAAAAATGAAATTTCACGAGGATTGTTTGCATTTTTTAAAATAATTTTAATT